ATCTCACTATTTGACTTAAGAGTCATAAATAGTCTTATATTTTATTACAAAACGAAACCATGTTTTCGAGAAGAATCTCTTGAATTGAAGTCTAAAAATAAATTGTAATTTGTTTTGGAATTTCATGTGTTATTATAATATTTGAGAAATAAAATGACAAAATTGTTTGACTTTTACATACGATTTGTAAATCAAATGACAAAATGTTTTTCAATGAAAACAAAAGCGAATTATGTGTTTATAAATCATGTACTCATACAAACAAAAATCGATGTATTTCTTGTGTAAATTTGTCTCTTTTTTACATTCATATTAATATTATATAATACTCTGTATATTGTATTGAATATAAAGCCATAAAAATTGAAAATAAAAAATATAAATATTAAAGACTTTTGTGTAGAAATCGATTTTTATGTTAAATAATATTGATTTTCATCATTAATTCCGGACACAAACTCATTTGAAACACAAGTGCTTCTCGTTGTGTGCAATGAAACGCCAAATCAATGTAAGTTTCGCTGAAATTTTCATACAAAGTATATCTTTTTAAATGCAAGTAAATCGCAAAAAAGTTAATTGTTTAGTACTGTAATTATAAAACACAAGAATTTAACTGCAAATTAAGGACGACTTCTATTGTTTAATATTCAGTCGATTTATTTTTCAAACATGAATATGAAATTGGATTTTATATATAAATCAAATATTACATAAAAAGCCTTCAAAACTAAGTCGAGTATCACTTGAAATGTCATTAACAAGTCGTCAGACATTCGGCAACCTATTTATGAAACTTTGAATTTAATATTTAGTTTTGAAGAGCCATTAATTATTAATCTTTGCTTAAAATTATCAAAAATTTCAATTAGTCTCTAAAAGGTTAAATCAGAGATTAAAGTTAAGTATAGTTTAATTAAAGGATTCAAATCAACTAAAAGTTTAATTTCATAAAAGGAAGTTTAGCGAAAAATAATAAAACTCCAGTTTTTACATTATATTAATATTAAATTATTATTTATTATCTTTTGGACCACTAATTGATTTTATATTCAATTAATATTTGCATATATTTTATGAAATAATCGCCAAAATGGTCTACATTTCTGTGAATATTATCTAAAATTCAGTTTAAAATTCTTGAATATTTTGCATTTAATGTGATTTCTGATAATTTATTTATTTTTACTTAAAGTTGTATAAAAACATCGATATATAAAATACTCGACATTCAAAATGTATCATTTGTTTGAATAGTAAGTCGAGAGAAAAAAATCAATCACTGTTTGAATAAACAAAATCCATTATACAGTGAATACACATTAAATAATAATTACATGAATATTCATTACACGCTTTGAAAATTACACTATAATTAAGAGGTTTACAAATAAACAAAATCAATAAGTTTGTTTCAAACAACAAGTTTGTAAACAAATAATAAGGAAACCAAAATTCTGGTTAATATTAAACAGAAATGACTGCAAGAAAGGGAAGATTATGGATAGACTGACGGACACAGAATTGAAAGATACCCTCTATTTATACTACGGCTCATAGACGTGGATAACTCGCAGCCAATATCTTGAAAACATTTGATTTAGTTTTCGTTTGAAAATATTTGTAACGAAAAGACTTATTTTCTCTGCAAATACTAAATTGAAAATTCGTTGTATTTTTTAGAGGCCGAGAAAACAGTGAATTTCTGAATCAGTTATGAAGTAATGGAATAGAAAAATGATAAAAAATTCAATTCTATTCAATTGGTTAACAACAAGGGATGAGTAATAAAGAAAAAATTCACTTTCTTTGGCACTGTTTTTATGCTATCAACCATTCAATGCAACGCTTGTCTAATGAATAAAACAAGAAAATGTAATCAAAATACTTTTAATTGAATTTTCTCTCTCTCTCTCTCTCTCTCTCTCTCTCTCTCTCTCCCTCTCTCTCTCTCTCTCTCTCTCTCTCTCCATAAAAAGTTAATTATGTGAATGTATAATAGAATCCAATGATAATTATATCTCAAACTAAATCTAATTTCATAAATTGATTATAATTGAAACATTTGCTTAATGAAAGTCTTATTGTGAAAATGGATAAACAAAACAAAACTTATAATTCTTTAGTAATTCTCTTTGTAATTGTATCGTAAATGTAGTTTTATTTGATTTTTATTTAATAAATGTTTTTAAAATTATAAGGAAATAAAACTATTAAAACTATAGTTTGATTTTCAAATATTTAATATTTGCAACTCTTTTAAATATTTATTGTATTTTTGAAAAATTGATTATTCAATTCAACAAAAATTGTATAAAAGCCAAAGTTTACATTTTTGTCATTTCAGCAAACTTTAGTTATTATTTTGAGAGTTGTTTACAAATATTTTGTTAAATAAACTTCATTTTAAACGAGTGAAAAATCCCCGGAATTTTGTATTAAAAATTCAATATCTACTATAAAATCACAGAATATTTAAAAAATTGTTTTATTAGTTGAAAATAAACTTAAAGAGAAATTAAAGTGCGAATACTGTCTAAAAATAGATTTGTTGATTGAATGTTCAAAATATGATTTGATTTAAGCCAAAAGTTGGAGAAATATATTTGAGATATTATTATCTAAATTTCTTGAAAACATTTTAAGCTAAAAATATAAGCTCTGAATAATTCATTAAGAAATTATCAATTGCTTTGAAATACCTCTTGTTTTTCTCAATACTTTTCTTATTTTAACTTTTATTTCATTTTCAAAACACTATGACTTGAGGTCATTGAAGATAAGATAGGAATCTATTGCTTTTTGTCAGTTGTTTGCAGTGTTTTTCTGGCGATAAAAAAGTCTCTTTCAATCAGTCGATAAAGAAGTGAAGAAAAGGAGTGAAAAGGGATTTTGAGACAACTTTTGGTTTTGGATGAATCGATACAATAAATAACTAAATAAACAGAAAATGGATACAAGAAATCGAAACTTTTTTCGCTGTTTTCAAACTCATTATCGATTGAGAAAACTATTGTTTTCTATAGATATTGTGAAAATGCAAATAAATTTAATCAAAACTAAAAATGCGTTGAAATTTGTAATTTTACTTTTCTTTTTTCACTCCCTATTAAATAAATATTTAAAATCTAAATGGCTTTTCGTATACTAAATACATTAAATAAATCAATACTCTTATTATCAAATTCGTAGAAATATCAAATAAAATATAAAATTCATTAAAAGTCTTAAAGTTTTATTTAAATATTGACGCATTTATTAATTTAGATAATTATTATTTATTATGTCAAAACTTGGGGATAACTTTTGCATTAATTAATTAAATGCTAAACAAAATAAAAAGTAAACTAATAAAATAAAAATATTATTAATACGCAAGAAATGCATTAATAAATTACTTGTGATTAAAAATTTCAAATTAATTAATGTTTGTCTAAATTATTATGTATTTTGAAAATTGAATATTTATAACAAATTCAATGTCTATTTTGCTATTTTAATCAATTTATACCCTTTTAGATGTTTAAGTTACTTTTGAGGGATTTTATAATGCAATTCAAATGTTGTCAAATATAAAATCCTTAAAAATATTAAAATGAATAGTTATTTAATAGCAATGAAAACGGAATCATAAATAAAAAGCATTTAATTTGAAAAACTTTGAACTCATATTGAAAATAAAGTTCAACAAAACTACAAAATAAAAATATATTCACTAAACGGGAGTTTAAATTGAATTCTGTTTAACAATCATTTTTATGTCTTTCCATACATTTCACACATTTTTCTATTTATTATAAATAATGTAGTTATGAGTGAAACAGTCATTAAAAACACAGGTATTCAGTGAACGCTCTGATTGTTCGCCAAAACAAATGCTTTAATTTATACAAAATCTAAACTAATGTCTGGAATTAATTTCATTACTATTGGCCTCTTATTTGTCAAATAAATAATAATACAAATCAAGTTTTGTTATGTTTTCTGGTTTTACGCAATACTGACTCGAAATGAGAGATCACTTTATGAACGAAACATTTTTGCGCAAAAAATTAGCCAAAAATACAATTGTGTTTATTATTAAAAATTAATGAAGACTTTTCTCTCTGTTATGTCTTTCAGTCGACGCCTATTATATGACTTTTTGTTAACAACTAATAAAGCCTTTTATGAATTTAAGCCACAGTTGTCTCTATGTGTGTCATTTCATGCAAAATACTTTTCGTCCCTTTTTTGTGTTCAAAATCTTTTAAAAGGAGTTTTCATTCAAGTATTCGCTGTTTTCCTATTGTTTTCTTCAGTATTTTGTCCGTAAATGTAATTAATATGGCTTTTAGTACTCTTTTTAGTCACGAATAAAATGTTTATTTAATTTTCATTTTGATTTATGTTTTGGACATAAAATTTATTGCATATTCTTTCTTAGATATGATTACTGTTTAATCAGTAATTTACATAAATTTAATATTTTCGATATGTGTTTATAAATACATTAATTTTCTGTACAAATATTTTTCTGCAAATAATTAAGTTTTCATTCGTTTTTGTTTTCACGACAAACACTTTTTCATCAGATATTTATCTAATAATTATTTTTAGATCTGTTTAATGAAAGGTTTAATAAACTGTTGAGATTTCTCTCGAAATATGTATTCAATTAGATATCAATTGGAAAAAGAGTTAAAATATTTTATCTAAGAGTTAATTAAAAATTATGTTTGGTTTCAAGATTTGCAGACATAATGAACTCGTGTTTAAACAACTAATAGATAATAATAATGTAAAGCTTTATCTCAAAAACATTATCCAAATTAATCTATCGCTAAATTAAGACATCCTTTTTATATGCGATTAAATGTATATAAATATTATTCAAATGCTTTTTGTATCTAAAATCGTATCTAAAAAATACTATTAGAAAGTGTTTTGAAAGCCATTTGTTTTATAAGAATATTCTGCGTTTCGCTGATTATCTCCTAAACTATTGCCGAGATTTGCATTCAGTTTGCGTTCGTCTTCTCGTCCTTCGGCTCCTCTTTCGCCTCTTCGGTGTCTTCTTTGTCTTTGTCTTCTTCGAGGTTAACCTTTTTGACGATACAGATGTTGGGGATAACAGTGGCGCCGCCTCTACTCAACAGATCCTGATATAACATCCACGAGAACCAGAATCCCAGAGCCGTGACGGAGACGTCGAGCAGGAAGTTGAAAGTCGTGAGGAGTGGCGACCGGAAGGCGAAAGTGGTCGCCTGTCCTGTCGTCACGATGGCGGCCACGATGGCGAAGGCGGCCACGAAGTAGAAGATCTCGAGAGCGACGCCTCGGATGCCGATCGCGATGACAGTCATCGCCAACACGTCGATGATTATTGTGAGGAAAAGGAAACCGATTTGTTTGTGGAAAACACAGATGTCTGCGATCAGAGTCACCAAATAGACCTGTTTTGCAGACAAACACATATTAAACATAAGTTTGTGTTAAAAATACATTAAATTTCTTATTGAGAGTTGATTTCTACTGTAAATGACTTTTGATATCGATTTCATTATTAATAATAAATGAATTTATTTATTGATTTTTTGCAAATAAAACACAGCTTTCTATTCAAAAAGATTACCGAAAATGTAATAATTTTATAATTTAATAAAACTAATGTTATATTTCATTTAAAACTAAAACCAAAACTAAATTTTTACACAATTTAAAACTAATTTGCTTTCAAGTTATCCTACAATAAGAAAATATATCTTTTTTCGTTTAGAACAAAGAATTTGTTGATTAAATGGAAAGAAAAATAAAACTTTTTTTGCCACAAATCGTGAAAAGCAATAAATAAAATGAAGTATATTTATTACCGCAAAAGTAATGACCAAAAGCAGGAGCAGTATTGCCTGAACCGTACGAAAAGATTTACTCTTCAGGAGATTATCTGAAGAGCCATTAGTTTTTGGCGACTGATCCATGACTTTGTGCTCACAATTGGCTTAAGTTTAACACAAATACGATTGAATAACAAACAAAATAGCACTCAAAGTGACACAAAAACAATGGATAAAATTGGAAAAATATCGAGTTTGAAGGCGTTGTCTGTGATTATCAAACAACAGCAACACTGACTGATCCCTACTCTTTCACAAGTGTGTTATGAATGTGTTGTCAGAACCAGAAGAGGGGAGAAGCGATGGGAATGTACTGTATATACAGTCTCTCACTTAAGGCTGTGTTCTAACTGTTGTATCAGATGTTTGTCGCTCTCTCTCTCTCGCTCTCTCTCTCCCCGACTGTTTCCATGACTTCACTCCATTTCGGCCTTTTATTAGTCACAGACTTTACAAGTCTTTGCTTTCATTTAAATTTCAGATACAATAGACAGGATTTGCAACAAAACGTGTGATAATAGTATAGATATACTCAATATTATTAGGTTTTAGGCGTTCCCCTCTCAATCATTGATAAAAATAAACTCAATTATTCTGATTAGATTATGCATTGATTCTTATCTATTAAGTAATCTTTACTTAAGACTTATTTAGCATTTATTTTGAGAAAAAAATTTTAAGTTTTAAATCTATTTTTTGTGTTTATTTAGGTTTTGTTGCTTTATCTGCAAAATAGTTTTATAATAGACTGAATGTCCACACGTTTTGTACATGAAATCAATGAACCTTTTTGTTAAACATGAATAAAACGCTTCGTTTCCCGGATTTGACAAAATGTTACGAATTTTCGTTTGAATTCATTTCGGTTTTCATTCATATTTGCATTCCTTGTCCTCTTTTATAATGAGTTGTTATCCATTGTTATCAAGTTATGGCCAAAAACTCGATGAAAGCAAAAATTATTTCTCAAACAAAACACAGAAATTGCAACAAATTTGTCAAATATATCGTCGTTTTAATTGTACTTTTGTTTGTTTCGATCGGTTTTCTCTTTTCATTCAAGTTTCCTTCAATTAATGACTCAGAAAACGACGTCAATGTAAACAATACTAATAACGCCATAAAGTGGTGGCAAAACACTATTGTCTATGAGATGGATGTGCGAGCCTTTCACGACTCGGACGCCGACGGAGAGGGAGATCTGTTGGCAATCATTAATAAACTCGATTACATCGACACTGTTTTGGGCGTCAAAACTGTGCTTTTGAGCGCTTTCTACCCCTCCTATAGTGTGGACACGAATTCCTATGAAATAACAGATCACAAGAATGTCGACAATAATTTGGGAACTCTTTCGCATTTCCATCAATTGGTTGAGAGTCTGAGACAAAGACAAATGAAACTATTGATTGATTTTATGCCTGAGTTTACGAGTGATAAGCATTTGTGGTTTAAAAAGTCTGTTCACAGAAATCAATACTTTTCTGATTATTATCTTTGGATTCCAAGCGATGAATACATGAATCTGAAGACAAACTCCAATTGGATTTGGAATTCTGTGCGAAAAGAGTACTATTTCTATGAATTCAAAGCCGAAGAACCGAATCTCAATCTCAATAACTCCAGAGTTCGTCAGGAATTGGTTAGTATTTTACTCTTTTGGCTCAATAGAGGTGTCGATGGCTTTCGGCTTAAGATTAAAACTGATTTAAATGACAAGAATTTAAGCGAATTGTTCCGAGAATGGCATCAAATCATTAAAACCTTTGACGAAAACAAATGTCTTTTATTGGAATCAAACATAAGTTACGAAAATTTGCTCAAAATATCAGAAAATAAAATATTAATTGATTTAATCGTGAATAAAAGTTTGGCAATAAATGCAATAAAAACGAATCAAATTAGCTATAAATCAGAAGATTTGGCACAAAATTTATTGCAATCTTTAATTCATATAAACGAGACATCCGTTAATATACGGAATGCTTTGCAAACGAGTGCTTATAGTTTGGGTCGACTTTCCTCCAGAAATGAACAAAAGCTGGCGATGGCTGTCGTGGCTCTCATGATGTTGTGTCCAAATGTGACGCCAATTGTCTTCTTCGGGGATGAAATAGGATTAGAAGACAACTTGGATGTCATGACAAACGCGAGGAATAAACAGAGTTTTGAACACTTTTATAGACCTGTAATGCAATGGACGGCGAACTCAATGAACGCCGGATTCAGTAATAAAACAGATTTAAAGCCATGGCTTATTGTTCCGAGAATGGCATCAAATCATTAAAACCTTTGACGAAAACAAATGTCTTTTATTGGAATCAAACATAAGTTACGAAAATTTGCTCAAAATATCAGAAAATAAAATATTAATTGATTTAATCGTAAATAAAAGTTTGGCAATAAATGCAATAAAAACGAATCAAATGAGCTATAAATCAGAAGATTTGGCACAAAATTTATTGCAATCTTTAATTCATATAAACGAGACATCCGTTAATATACGGAATGCATTGCAAACGAGTGCTTATAGTTTGGGTCGACTTTCCTCCAGAAATGAACAAAAGCTGGCGATGGCTGTCGTGGCTTTCATGATGTTGTGTCCAAATGTGACGCCAATTGTCTTCTTCGGGGATGAAATAGGATTAGAAGACAATTTGGATGTCATGACAAACGCGAGGAATAAACAGAGTTTTGAACACTTTTATAGACCTGTAATGCAATGGACGGCGAACTCAATGAACGCCGGATTCAGTAATAAAACAGATTTAAAGCCATGGCTTA